CTGTCCATCCGTCTGTAAACTTTTCACATTTTCAACTTCTTCTCAAGAACCAGTGGGCCAATTTCAACCAAACTTGCCACAAAGTATCCTTGGGTGAAGGAGATTCAAGTTTGTTCAAATGAAGGGCCACGCCCTCTTTCAAGGGGAGATAATAAAAAATTAGTGAAAAATTAATAGCATCTTTTAAAAATCTTCTTCTCAAGAACCACAGGGCCAGGGAAATTGAAACTCAAATTGAAGCATCCTCAGGTAGTTTAAATTCAAGTTAGTTCAAATCATGACCCCCGGGGGTAGGGCAGGGCCGCAATGGAGGATCACAGTTTTCCATACAAATATATAGGAAAAATCTTTAAAAATCTTCTTCTCAAGAACAGCAAAGCCCTAATTGGTCATATTTATATGGGAGCATCCTCAAGTATTGTATATTCAAGTTTGTCCAAATCATGACCCCTGGGGGTAGGGCGGGGCAACAATAAAGGATCAAAGTTTAACATAGAAATATATAGGAAAAACCTTTAAAAATCTTCTTCTCAAGAACAGCAAAGACATGATGAGTCATATTTATATGGAAGCATCCTCTGGTAGTGTATATTCAAGTTTGTTCAAATCATGACCCCCGGGGATAGGGCGGGACCACAATGGAGGATCAAAGTTTTACATAGAAATATATAGGAAAAATCTTTAAAAATCTTCTTCTCAGAAACAGCAAAGCTCTGATTGATCATATTTTTGTGGAAGTATCCTCAGGTTGTGTAGATTTAAGTTTGTTCAAATCATGACCCCCGGGGATAGGGCGGGGCAACAATAAAGGATCAAAGTTTAACATAGAAATATATAGGAAAAACCTTTAAAAATCTTCTTCTCAAGAACAGCAAAGACATGATGAGTCATATTTATATGGAAGCATTATCTAGTAGCGTAGATTCAAATTTGTCCAAATCATGACCCCTGGGGGTAGGGCGGGGCCACAATGGAGGATCAAAGTTTTACATAGAAATATATAGGAAAAATCTTTAAAAATCTTCTTCTCAGGAACAGCAAAGCCCTGATTGATCATATTTTTGTGGAAGTATCCTCAGGTAATGTAGATTTAAGTTTGTTCAAATCATGACCCCCTAGGGTAGGGCGGGGCCACAATGGAGGATCAATGTCTGAAATAGAAATATATAGGAAGGTATCTTCTGATGAAGAACTGCAAAGCAATGATTAGTTATTTTGATATGGAAGCATCTTCAGGTAGTGTAGATTCAAGTTTGTTAAAATGGTGAACCCCAGGGATAGGAATGGGCCACAATGGGGGATCAAAATTTTACATAAGAACATATTGGAAAATATCTTTTTCTCAAGAAATGAAAATCATGTTTAGTCATTTTGATATGGAAGCATCCTTAGGTAGTGCAAATTCAATTATTTTTCAAATGATAACCCCCAGGGGTAGGGTGGGGCCCAATGGGGATCGAAAGTTTTACATAAGAACACATAGAAAAAATATTTCTTCTCAAGAACAGAAAAGCTATGTTCAGTCATATTGATATGGAAGCATCCTCGGGTAGTGTAGATTCAAGTTTGTTCAAATGATGACCTCTGGGATAGGGAGGAGCCACAATGGGGGATCAAATTTTTACAAAGGAATATATGGGAAAAATTTTTTAAAATTTTCTCAAGTACATGTACAACAAAGCCATTTGTTGTACATATATTGACATGGAAGCATCATCAGGTAGTTTAAAATTCAACACGAGGGTCAAAAGTCTTTAATACATAACTCTTTAACGATCAATATTTTGTAATACAGCACTTAAGCAAAAATGTTTATCTTAACAATCTACAACTAAATATTATAATATTTACATCATGTTACATAATTAGGGTCCGAAAGGGGCCAGATTGACAAATCTTTGGCACTCTATATCTCAAAAGTGGGAGATATTTTGATATGCAATATTGAATGCAAAAATGTTTATTGAATAAAAGATGTTCAAAATAAGGTTCTAAACGATATGTAACATTTCAATTTTTTCTAAACGTCCTCATTAAGGAGTTGAAGGACCAGCCTCAATATTTCCTTTGCATATATCTCGAAAATGAGTAAGAATTTCTGAACAAAAAGTGTTCAAAATCATGAGAGCTTTAAGATGATATCAAGAAAAAGGGGCTACCCCTCAAATAAGGGGCTGAGAAAGGCCGAAAGTATTTGATTAATAACTCTTTAATGATCAATATTTTGTAATACATTTCTGAAGCAAAACAGTTCATCACACACTCTTAACTACATAACATGATGTTGGCATTATATGTTACCCAATAAGGGGTCATTGGGGGCCATATTGGTGAATCTTAGGTACAATATATTTTGAAAAGGAGGAATATTTTGGTAAGCAATATAGAATAAAAGACGTTCAAATAATGTTCTTAACAATGACCAATCTTTCAATCTTTGCTAAATGTCCCCATTTAGAACTTGAAGGGCTGACCCCTTAATATTTCTATTGCAAATATCTCAGAAATGAAAAAAGATTTCTAAGTAGTTGTTGAACAAAAAATGTTGAAAGTCATGAGAGCTTTAAGATGATATCAGGAAAAAAGGGCTAACCTCTCATAATATTGGCCAAGATGGGCCGAAAGTCTTTAATCAGTAGATCTTTATTTTTCGATATTTGATTACACATTACTGAGGCAAAATTGTTCGTCTTATTCATATCATTATATTTGAACAAAAAATCTCACTCATATTCTTATCTCATCTGTTCAACAAGAGGCCCTTGGGCCACATCGCTCACCTGAACACAATGGCTAGGAAAAAGCACAAATCAATTCAGTATTGAAAAGTATACATGGGAGGGGGGGGTTTGAATTTTAAACTACCTGAGGATGCTTCCATATCAATATAACAAATGGCTTTGCTGTTCTTGAGTAGAAGATTTTTAAAAGATTTTTTCCTATATATTTCTTTGTAAAAATTTGATACCCCATTGTGGCCCCTCCCTACCTCCAGAGGTAATCAGTGGAACAAAATTTAATTTACACTACCCGATGATGCTTCCATATCAATATGACTAAACATGGCTTTGCTGTTCTTGAGACAAAGAATTTTTCCCTCTATGTAAAACTTAAATCCCCCATTATGACCCGACCCTACCCCCGGGGATCATGATTTGAACAAACTTGAATCTACAATACCTGAAAATGCTTCCATTTCAATATGACTAAATATGGCTTTGCTGTTCTTGAGAGAAGATTTTTAAAATTTTTTCCTATATTTTTATGTAAAACTTTGACCCCCCTTGTGGCCCCACCCTACCCCAGGGGTCATGATTTGAACAAATTTGAATCTATACTACCTGAGAATGCTTATATATCAATATGACTAAACAAGACTTTGATGTTCTTGAGAAGAAGATTTTTGAAGTTTTTTTCCCAATATATTCCTTTGTAAAACTTTGAACCCCTATTGTGGCCCCACCCTAACCCCAGGGGTCATGATTTGAACAAACTTAAATCTACGCTATCTGAGGATGCTTACATATCAATATGGCTAAACAATGTTTTGCTGTTCTTGAGAAGAAGATTTTTAAAGATTTTTTTCCTATATACTTTGATCCCCCATTGTGACCCTACCCTACCCCCGGGGGACATAATTTGAATAAACTTGAATCTACATTATTTGAAGATGCTTCCATATCAAATATGACTAAACAAGACTTTGCTGTTCCTGAGAAGAAGATTTTTAAAGTTTTTCCCTATATATTCCAATGTAAAACTTTGATCCCTCATTGTGACCCCACCCAACCCCCGGGGGTCATGATTTGAATAAGCTTGAATCTACAATACCTGAGAATGCTTCCATATCAATATAACAAATAATGGCTTTGCTGTTCTTGAAAAGAAGATTTTTAAAGTTTTTTCCTATATATTTCTATGTAAAACTTTGATCCCCCATTGTGGCCCCTCCCTATCCCCAGGGGTCATGATTTGAACAAACTTGAATCTACACTATATAACAAAGGTTTCCTATAAGTTTCAACTTTTTTTGGCCATTGGTTCTGGAGAAGAAGATTTTTAAACTATGCCACCAAATTTTCACTATTTCTGAATTATCTCCCCTTGAATGAGGGCATGGCCCTTCATTTGAACAAACTTGAATCCCCTTCACCCAGGGATGCTTTGTGGCAAGTTTGGTTAAGATTGGCCCAGTTTTCTGGAGAAGAAGTTGGAAATGTGAAAAGTTTACAGACGGACGGACAGACAGACAGACAGACAGACTACAGACAAAATGTGATCAGAAAAGCTCACTTGAGCTTTCAGCTCAGGTGAGCTAAAAATCAGATGGAAGACCCACTCATTGCTTGCAACGAGATCGCATCTACTTATTATTCCACTTTTTCTTTACAATTTTTGTGCGAAAGATTTCTCGTAAATGGTTCGATAGATTTTCTTGAAATTTTCAGTCAGAAGATGATCTTTTTTTGTTCAAATCCTCAATATTCACTTCCTTTGGAAGTTATCGCCCTTGAATCAATTTTTAGAGGGTCATTTTGTCTGATCCAGAAGTCGAAAACGGTTTAAGTTAGAGAGTTGAAATTTTCAGCAAATATATAGGACATGTTGAAGTGGTGCACTTGGGTCTTCAAATTTTCCAGAAATGCCTACTATGGAAGGTGGCTAGGGGTCAAAATATAGGACACAATCATGAGTGAATTTTAGAGATATTTTGTATCATATCTTTTAAACTCTGAATATTTTCTTAAAACATATTGAACAGAAATTGTGTAGAATTAAAAGATCTTTTATATGATATCAAGAAAAAAGGGCTGACTCATTACATTAGGGGTCAAGAGGGGCCAAAAGTTTTTTAATCCATAATTTTTTTTAAATAATTAATTCTTGGAAAAGTTTGGAACAGTGGGGCAAAAGTTACTCAAGTGAAGACTGTAGCCCCTGTGCCTCTTGTTATTTCTAACTAACTAAAGATTCATAAAACTTCTTACATCTTTTTTCAGAAATGGAAGTTTCAACATCAATATCCTGCCCACTGTCATCAAGCACGGATTTGAACTCGGAATGTAGCAGTGTGTCTACTAAAGAAATGGGAAATAATGGTCAATTCAATAATCAGTCAGAACGTTTGGTAAAGTTTACAATGGTTAACTCTTACGGCAGTGCAGAACTTGACTATAAAATCAAAGATGATGGAAATCCTCTAAAAATTAGTGGTAAGTTTTACTGTGGTTTGGAACCATGTCACAGAAGTAAGGATGTGTTATCAACTTAGGCCTGCATGTATTGAAGTGAACATTATTTGTAATTAAGAATTGCAAAGAGCATAATTGTCTAAAAGCAATATTTTGCCCTGTGAAATTCTAAAAATAAGAACTGTTAAGGACATTGACAAGTCACTGTTATTTGGAGAAAAAAGGTTTAAGTCATCTGGTTAAAATTAGCTCACCTGAGCCAAGGCTCAAGTGAGCTTTTCTGATCAAAGAGTGTACAGCGTCTGTCTGTCATCTGTAGTATGTTAACTTTTCATATTTTCGACTTTTTCTCAAGAACCACAGGGCCAATTTCAACCAAACTTGGCACAAAGCATCCTTGGGTGGAGGGGATTAAATTTTTTCACAGGAAGTGCTGTGCCCTCTTTCAAGGGAGATATTTAAGAATTTGTGAAAATTTGTTGGCATCATTTAAAAATCTTCTTCTCAAGAACCACTGGGCAAGAAAAGATGAAACTTATGTCAAAGCTTCATTTCATACACTAGATTCAAATCCGTTCATATCATAACCCCCGGGGTAGGGCAGGGCCACAAGAGGGGGTCAAAGTTTTGCATTTTACAGGAATATATAGGAAATGTCTTTAAAAGTCTTCTTCTTGAGAACAGCAAAGCCATGATTAGTCATATTATAATAGACATATCTTCAGGTGTAGATTCAAGTTTGTTCCAATCATGACCCCCAGGGGTAGGGCACAACAGGGGGTCAAAGTTTACCATAGGAATATATAGGAAATATCTTTAAAAATCTTCTCAAGAACAACTAAGCCATTACTAGTCGTATTAATTCAGAAGTATCCTCAGGTAGTTTAGATTCAAGTTTGTTTAAATCATGATCCCCGAGGGTAGGGCGGGGCCAAAACGGTGGGTCAAAGTATGTAGGAAATATCTTTAAAAATCTTCTTCTCAAGAAGAGCTAAGCCATTACTAGTCATATTAATACAGAAGTATCCTCAGGTAGTGTAGATTCAAGTTTGTTTAAATAATGATCCCCGAGGGTAGGGCGGGGCCAAAACAGTGGGTCAAAGTTTAACACAGGAATATATAGGTGTAATGGTTATGGAGCATTTGAGTAAAATGCATTGAAAACTTCAAATAGAGGAATGACCTGACAATCCTTGGAATGGACTAGCCAAACCAAAGGGTATATAAGGCAAAGCTTTGGGAAAGTTGGGCATTCAGAAGCTAGCTGAAAGAGTTGGATGTTGAGTCAGCAATAAAGTAGTTAAGGTATTCCATCCCTAATAGCAACAGATTCAATGAAATTGAATACATAACAGATGTGTAGGGGTTGAATATTCGGTATATTTAAACCTAATTCCCATTTATTACTATTAGCATGTGAGGGTGGGATGTGTCCTAATTTATGACTTTGAATTTTGGTAAGAGTTATCTCCCTCTGTTTTTAATTAATAAAAGAAATCAATTTTTAAAAACCTTATCTGGTAAAAAAAATTAAATAAAAATTTTAAAAAAATAAAATTAAAAAAAGAATAAAAAATAATAATAAAAATATTGTCATTCTATTTCTATTTTAATGCATCATTCCACCACAGTATTTATTGATATTCTTATTATTTTTATTTTTAAAAAATTGCTTGTCCCCATAGACGTCAATGCAATATTTGTTTATTAATTACTGCTTAGTTAATTACATTTTTGAAACTTTCTCTTAAAAAATCCTTTTCTACTGTAAAATGCTTTAAATTGATATCAGAGTATTATGTTAGTGATGGACATTTAAGGATAGAGAATTTGGTTTATTAGGGATGGAAAACCTTAAGAATAGCTTTTTAAATACTTGGATCACACATTTTTAGCAACAAATCTCAAAAGATTTTCTAATATTCACAGTTTTTTTTTAATGACGCAATTGTATGTATGTAAGTTTAGAATTTTAATGTTATAATTTCTAATACACATATGTTGAATTACATGTAATTTCTATTATACTTGTAAAATTTATTCTTAGTTCTTAAAAGTTGTGAACACCAGTTGCAAGTATCCTAAGAAATTGATGCTAAGTTCTGGATGTAGTAAATCTGAAGAAGATTGACTGGGGAGACACTCGGTTCTTATCTATCAATGGGAACCTAGGGGAGAAACACGGTGCAAGTAGTACCTTACCCAGTCCCTGTCTCTAGATAAGACAAAATTTAAGTACTGTGATATACCATCAGACAGGTGTCTTAATAATCATTCCAATGATTTACTCAGACAGAGTAAAAGGAAAACCTAGACATCTCTTGTAAAAACCTGATCATACATGTTACATAGGAAAATTTTTAATATTTAATATATTTGAAATATTCTCAAGAAACTAAGCCATTATTAGTCATATTTATACAGAAGCAACTTTAGGTTTTGTAGAATCAAGTTTGTTCAAACTATGACTCCCAGGGGTTGGGGGCACAACAGAGGGTCAGAGTTTTGCATAAAATTATATAGAAATCTTGAAAAAATCTTCTACTCAAGAACAGCAAAACCACAATTAGTCATATTAATATAGAAACAGTCTCAGGTAGTGTGGATTCAAATTTGTTTAAATGTAGGGTGGGGCCACATGAGAGTTCACTGAGTTTTATATAGGAAAACATAGGGAAAAAATCTTTAAAATTCTTCTGTTTAAGAACATCAAAGCCATGATTAGTAATATTGAAATGGAATCATCCTGAGGTAGTGTAAATTAAAGTTTGCCCCCCCCCCCCGTTCAATACTGAACTGAATTCTGTTTTTTCCTAGCCAATGTGCTCAGGTGAGCGAGTGATGTGGCCCATGGGCCTCTTGTTTCACTTATAAAACTGTGATTGAGAGTGATCTGTGTAGAATTCTCTACACAATGAAAACCAACAAAAGGTATATTACAGAGGTAAACAAAAATATGCGTAGAAACATCTCTACTGCAAGAAAGAAAAGCAGTGATTGATTTGTTTCATGTTGTGTTGACAGACAGTCAGCAGGTCATATATAAATATAAGGAATAACTGTTTAATTTTTAACTCACCTGAACTGAAAGCTCAAGTGAGCTTTTCTGATCACATTTTTTCTGTAGTCCGTCTGTCTGTCTGTTTGTCTGACCATCCTACTGTAAACTTTTCACATTTTCGACTTCTTCTCCAGAACCACAAGGCCATTTCAACCAAACTTGCCACAAAGCATCCTTGGGTGAAGGGGCTCCAATTTGTTCAAATGGAGGGCCACACTCTCATTCATGGGGAGATAATTCAGAAATAGTGAAAATTTGGTGGCATATGTTAAAGATCTTCTGCTCAAGAACCACTGGACCAAAAAGTTGAAACTTATAAGAATCTTTTTTTACATAATGTAGATTCAAGCTTGTTCAAATAATGACCCCTGGGTGTAAGGTTGGGCCACAATGGGGGATCAGAGTTTTACATAGGAATATATAGAAAAAAAAACTTCAAAAATCTTCTTCTCAAGAAGGCTAAGCCTTATTTTTTCATGTTGATATGGAAGCATCGTCAGGTACATGTAGTGTAAATTCATATTTGTTCAAATGATGACCCTCTGGGGTTGTATGGGGCCACAATGGGGGATCCAAGTTTTACATAGGAATGTATAGAAAAAAATCTTCTCAAGAACAGAAAAGCCTTGTTTAGTCATATTGATATGGAAGCACTCAGGTAGTGTAGATTCAAGTTGTTCAAATGATGACCCCCAGGGGTAGGGAGGGGCCACAATGGAGGATCAAATTTTTACAAAGGAGTTTATAGGAAAAAATCTTTAAAAATCTTCTGCTGAAGAACAGCAAAGCCATTCGTTATATTGATATGGAAGCATCCTCAGGTAGTCAGGGCTCGACATTAACGCTTGTCCACTTGTTCGGTACCAGTGAAAAAAAATTACGGACAAGTGAATATTGCTGGACACTTGTCCGATTGGACAAGTGCATTTTAATGTGAAGAAGTCTCCAAATAATAAAAAGAACAACTGCTGAGTATTTAGTTTACCGCTGCTTTAAAGCAGAAACAGTACATAGAAACCAAACTTCGATCCCGATATGGATTGCTATGTAATAGAGTTGATACTCGATCGGGATCGAAGTTCACTAATTGCATACTACAGCAAAGGCATGGAACTTACGAAGTTCGGATTCTGTTTTATGTTGACAGCATTTATGTTGTCAGGACAGAGAGTCTATATAAAATTTTGTTTTATGTGTTTGTTGTATTTATAAATAACATCACGCACATGTCATGGACTTTATTTAAGTTTTTCAGTTGGAAGGATTAGATCTTTCTTGAATGATCAAGCAGTTGGCTTGTTTGATTATTTTTTTGCATAAACCCTTTTTCATTTATGCAAATTATCACACAAGCCAATTGCTTGATTACATCATGAAACCAAAAAATTAGACAGTTATACCATAAGTAAATCTTTATTTATGGACAGATAGCAGACACTTTAGGTGTTCATACATTGAAAATGCATTTTATCTTTGAAATCGCATGAATAATTAAGCACATTGGTGATTGTCTTTCTATTTTTCTTCTAGGTAGGTCATACATAGCAGCTGACTGGGAATCAGTAGCCAAGAAAAAATTTTATTTGGAAAAGAAAGCAGAAGAATTTGAACAACATATATCAATGACTATGAGGTCACAAAAGAAACAAGTTATACAATTAGATAACTGTTTGGATCTCTTTACAAAGGTGGAACAGCTTGGAGAAAATGATTTATGGTAAGATTTTTTAGGTCACCTGAATCACTCAGGTGACCTATAGCTGTCTCTTTTTGTCCTTGGTTGTCCATCCTGCATTGTGTGTTAACATTTGTACATTTTCAGCTTCTTCTCTGAATGCCCCCCCCCCTCCCCCTGGGAGGGGCAGCTGAGGGGTTTGGCTATAGCATCAAAATTAATGCAATCTTTAAAAATCTTCTTCTTTACTCCTGGACATTAAGCAGTCAAACTGTTAGTATGATTGTAATAAGCATTGAACCCTCTACCTTAATTGTGAAATTCATGGCCCCAGGGTCAGGGGTTCTGGTGCTAGGATGGGACTCTGTTGAATATATAGTGAAAATGCATTATTTCTTTTTTAAAATTTTTTTCCTCTGCTACTGGGTATTCAGCAAACAAACTAAATGCAAAGGTATAATGAGCAAAGGTACCTCCTCCAAAATTGTGAATTTCATGGCCCCTGGGTCAGGGGTTCCGGTGTTAGGGGGCCCTAATGATAATATAGTAAAAATGCATTAATTCTTTGAATATCTTCTCCTCTCCTTCTGGGTATTAAGCTGATGAACTAAATACATAGTTATGATGAAGAAGGGTGTCTCTTCCAATATTGTGAATTTCATGACCCTTGGATCAGGGGTTCTTGAGTTAGGATTGGGCTCTAATGATTTTGTAGTGAAAATGCATTAATTCTTTGACAATCTTCTCCTCTGCTTCTGGGTATTAAGCTGATGAACTAAATACATAGTTATGATGAAGAAGGATGCCTCTTCCAAAATTATAAATTTCATGGCCCCTGGGTCAGGGGTTCGTGTGTTAGGGTGGGCTTAATGATTATATAGTGAAAATGCAATAATTCTTTGAAAATCTCCTGAGTTATGATGAGGAAGGGTGCCTTTTCCAAAATTGTCAAAGATGTGGCCCCAGGGTCAGGGGTTCTCATGGAAAAGCTGGGCTCTTATCATAATGGTAAATATGCATTGATTCTTTGAAAATATCCTCCTCTGCTACTGGATATTAAGCTGATGAACTAAGTACATAATTATGATGAAGAAGGGTTCCTCTTTCAAAATAGTGAATGATATGGATCCTGGGTCAGGGATCTGTAGGGGGGGGGGGGGGGGGGGAGAAGGGGGACTTATTTATTATATACTGAAAATGCATTAATGCTTTGAAAATCTTCTCCTCTGCCCCTTGGTGTTCAGCAAACAAACTAATGCATAGTTATGATGCAAGGGTGCCTCTTCCAAATTGTAAATTTTATGGCCCCTAGGTCAAGGGTTCTGGAGTTTGAGCAGGGCTCTTTTGATAATATAGCAAAAATGCATTAATACTTTTAAAATCTTCTCCTTTGTCCAAGAGTATTAAGCAAACAGATTAAATACAATGAAATAAATGTTATTGTATAAATGTAAGTAAATGTGCCTTTTCTCTGCTCTAGGGTATCTATTAGGCAAACAGAGTACAAAATTTGTAACAAGTGAAGCAAATGAGAGTTTATCCCCTTGCTAAATTGTGTTAATTCAAGAAGTCTTTGTACATAATTTACGGATACCCACTCCTTAGCCAGGAAGGATAACTCCTTAATTTATTATTTAATTCAAAAAGTCTCAAAATGAAGCTTGAAATGTTTTCATGCAACAATTTTCTTTTCATGCATCTCAATGTGATTCAAGGTTCTTTGAAGCCTTAGAAACGGTCTTATAAAAAGTTGATATTTGTACCCCATAAAAGTATTTTAAAAAATTACATATTTAAAGAAATCCAATTTCCTTTTATATAGCCTTAGATACCAATGTGTATTAGCATGATATTAAATTAGAAGTGATTTATGGTGTTTTGCAGTGATAGCAGATGCTTCATACACTATGCAGTAGAAAATAATTGAAGTAAATAGAAGAAACTAAAGTACAGTATAAGTAAAAAATCAATTGGGAATTTCGTATTGCAATATATTGCGATATTTGAAACTGTATTGTGATATGTATTGCAGTATTTTTAATAACAGTTAAGATGCTCTTTTCTTGTTTTATTAACCTTCATTTTTAAGCAGGGTGTATAAAACTTTTAAAAATACATTGTAGCAAAAAAGTTTAAGTTGATTTCACTACAGTTTGGCAACGAAATGCAACCATACAACAGAAACCTTTACCATTTAGTACTGTTTGGTGTGATTGACAACGTTTCTGACATCTTAAATATAATTTACTTTATAAATCTAAAGCCAACGCTTTTTACCAGTATATTGGTACTGGAAAAACGTATTACAATAGGATATTTTTTGTTAACGAATCACAGTATACCGAAATATGGATATTATTGTGCAGCCCTAGTCTTTTTATTTGCATTTTCTGAAAATTTATTTAAGATTTACTAATTTTCCCTATATAATATGATTAACTTTAATGATGAAGTTTGAAGAATTACTGTGGGTAAATACACATTACTCTCAGCATTCAGAGATATTTTTGTGAGCATTTTAAATTATTCAGTGCCTGATTTTCAGAACCATAGGTTGGACTACCTTGATTAACAGGTTATTTGATGGAATGAGAAAACAAGAAAGGTTGTTATATACATGTATATAGAAACAAAATAAAAATGAATGTTTGGTTTAAATGAGCAAAGCATGCTTAAGTTGGATTCTTGCCTGGAAAGCAGTATAAAAGATTGAAATAAAGATTATTTATGTAGCAAAAAGGCCAGTTGTACTTAGTATGTGTAGTGTTCTGTTGGAAAATTGATGTCTTATTGTCAGATAAATTCATGGAGGTCAGAATTTAGTTCGCAAGAGACTGCAAAAAGTTGAGTTATACTTCATATCAAAGTGAAAAAATGAACAGAAGCCAGGGTGACTAGGGTACATGTAGTTACTAAAAAGTGGCAAATAGCCATGTTGTTTACTAAGCCAAGTGGAGGGTGCTGGTAACAAGTATTACCAAGTTTTTTGTGTAAACAAGAGGCAAATTTTGGTACCAAGTGTTACCAAGTGGCAAGCAGCTAAATTGTTTGTGTAGCCTAGAGGCATCACCTTGAGTAAATTTACAGGCATTAGAGATTTCTCTTTGTGTACTGTATATATTGAATACTTTACATACTAGGCAAGTGTTCATTGTACACATGTATTTGTATATTTTCCATTCATTATCATCTGTAAGACTTAGGAAAACCAAGTACGATCCAAGGGAGATCACTCAGGTCTCGCACTTTACAATAAACAAGGGTATTTTTACCAAATTTTTGAAATTTTTGGGCAACATGTAGCTTCACGTATCAGTTCTTCTACACTGATCCTGGATCACTGGATCCTATACAGTTTGTGTTATACTCGGGTGACCATTAAGGTCCTTGGGCTTCTTGTTCTTTTTTCCCTTTGATTTATACCGTCTTTCTCATCTGGGTAGCAGAGTTGCAGTTTACAGAGACAGCCGAGCGTCTGGTTTAGCCTTAGTATATAGGTCCATGAACTGCTTCATGCTTCACCAGATATCACGTAAGGCAATGGAGTAGGCTATGGCGTTGTAGCTAGCGTCTGGTTGAACTTTCATATGGTAGGGCTAATGTCAGTAAAATGCTAATGAAGAAATACAAAGATAAGAAATGCTCAAGAATAATATGGCCTGATAGGTGTAGCTAGGTCAGTTTACTGTTTAAGGTTGTTGCTAAAGACAGCAAAGCTTTTTGAAAAAGCTCTAATTGTGTCCCTTACACTATTGTCTGGCTTGCCATCTATGGGATTGATCAACCCAATATATATCTGTAGAATACCAGTAAAAAACCTAATAATATTAGGTATCCAGGTTCAATCAAGGGTGTCTGGGGATTTACCCCAGGTTGTATTCAATACATCCTGAGGCTGAATAACGAATTTATTTACTATGTACCAAAATAAATTCTTTCTAAACAAGTGCAATCACTCACTACTTCGAATTACTACAATGCATCATGACGTCATGTTATATGCTTTGTATCATAGAGAAACTATGCATTGTGATGTCACGTTTTTAACCCCTGGCTCAAGTCGGGTATACGGAAATTTACACCAATCAAATCTTGTGTTACAAGCTACATAGGAAATAAGTTATAATATATTGAATTTCTGATTTACAGTACCATTCTTACTCCATGCAAATTTTCTTTGAAATATCTTTTCAAGGAAACCCTTGACAGCACTTTTCTGATGTTCTCATGAGGGCACAAAATACCAGTGACTTTTCAGTATGCTAAACATTCCAGATTCTGACATCATTTTCGGAGTTACAATGTATTACGTCATAAAAATAAGAAATTGACATAGAAATAAATGCAAATTTTCCAGCTTTATTCAATGGTATCAAACTCAAACTAATATCCATGAAGAAGTTAATATTTTAGCAAGCAGTTCTCAGAACTTTTAAAATGCCACTTGTACATATATAAGAGATGTGCATACTGCTTAGATTTTGATATTTGATAATTTATGAGAAAAATGCCAGCTTTTAACTTAGTCATTTTTTTTTTTTTGCAAAATATTGCATTCAGGATATCCCTTTTGTCCAGATAATTTCTCCTACAGTTTTCAAGATAGAAACTTTTTTGTTTTGCAGATCAATTGTACATATATCAGATATGTGTATTTTACTTTTTTGGTTATGGGAAAATTACCAGCTTTAAAATTTGTAATTTTTTTGCAACAAATTGCATATCGCAGAGCTGTGGAAAACTGCCGGTCATGCCGGCAAAATTGGCAAAAAATGCCTGCGCCTGGTAAAAATGCTATTGATGTCAGTCCAAATGACAGGCCCCTTTTTGGGTTAAAGTTTTTTGTTTTTTCATTTATCATTGGCGCACTTCCCAGCTTAATTATCGTATCTAATATATGATTGCATAATACTATTCTTTACAAGAGATCGAGGCTGTAAATGAAAGCAAAACCATCATGGTCTCGTGACCTATTAAATTTACAACTGGGGCAGAATTTGGTAGAAAAGGTAAAGAAATAGATTGAGGCAATCTATATATGT